AAAAAAAAAAAAAAAATTTTAAATAAGGAAAAGTTCACAAAGTTAAGAGTTGGCATTTTAAAATCTCACAGAGATAAAAGAAACTTATAAATAGCCAATCACTTGTCTGAGGTAACACCCAATAATAGAGCTATATAATTTACGCCTATGGAAAGGCTGAGAAAGAGAAGCCTGGGTACGTATGGTGGCTGATGCCTATAATCCCAGAACTTTGGGAGGCTGAAGTGGGCGGATCACTTGAGCGGAGGAGTTCCACACCAGTCTAGGCAACATGGTGAAATCCGTCTCTACTTAAAAAATATAAAAAAGGCCGGGTGCTGTGGCTCACACCTTTAATCCCAGCATTTTGGGAGGCCAAGGTGGGCAGATCACCTGAGGTTGGGAATTCGAGACCAGCCTGACCAACATGGAGAAACCCTGTCTCTACTAAAAATACAAAAATTAGCTGGGTGTGGTGGCATATGCCTGTAATCCCAGCTACTCAGGAGGATGATGCAGGAGAATTGCTTGAACCCAGGAGTCGGAGGTTGCGATGAGCCAAGATCGCACCATTGCACTGCAGCCTGGGCAGCAAGAGCGAAACTCCATCTCACACACACAAAAAAACAAAAAAACAAAACAAAACAAAAAAACAAAAAATACAAAATAAAATTTAAAAAGGGAGAGAAGCCTGGCTTATTTTAAAGCAAAAAATTCAAAGCAAGATAGATTAAATGATCTTGACACTGAAGCTGGTGCCCGAGTCCAGTGAATCGTTATAGCTGTTTCTCCACATCAAAGTCAATGTCTGTACCACACATATGCCCTGAAATAGTGTACAGCTGATGAAACCTCCTTGGAGAATAAAGAACTAAGAATGTTATTTACCGATTTTTTCTTTCTGATGTATATAATATGAATATCTTCACTTCGATACTCTTCATCATGTTTTTCCAAAGGAATTTTTTCAAAGTCAAAGTCTAGCTGAAGGAGCTATAAATTTAAAAGAGGTATATTTCAAATTCAACAATATGAACTGACCTGTGGGTGACAGAATTCAGAATGGTGGTTACATTTTTTTTTTTTTTTTTGAGGCAGAGTTTTGCTGTCACCCAGGCTGGAGTGCAGTGGTGTGATCTTGGCTCACTGCCACCTCCGCCTCTCTGGGTTCAAGCAATTCTCCTGCCTCAGCCTCCAGAGTAGCTGGGATTAAGGGTGCAGGGCACCACGCCCAGCTAATTTTTGTATTTTAAGTAGAGAGGGGGTTTCGGCATATTGGCCAGGCTGGTCTCAAACTCCTGACCTCATGATCCGCCTGTCTTGACCTCCCAAAGTGCTAGGATTACAGGCATGAGCCACTGCGTCTGGCTGGTGGTTACCTTTTGAATACTGATTGGGGAAGGGCAATGTGCACACCTTCCAAGATTCTGAAAATGTCCTCTATCTCTATGTTGGGAAGTAGTTACTTGGGTGTACACACATGAAAAATTAAGCTCAGCACTTGATTTGATAAATATGTATTTTACATGTGCTTTACCCCAATAAAAATTGTTTAACAATACAAAATTTGGCCTTGGAAATCCAAGAAAAAAAAAAAAAACAGTACAAAGTTTTCATTATGCATCATTTCAAAAGTTCATGAACATTTTTCATATTTAAGAAAAACATGAAAATAAAAATTTTAGATGTTACCTGAGGCAGTCATATACCTGTTTTCTCATTAAACTAAAGTAGTCCCTTCAGCAGACAAAACTGCAGACTTATATTGATGTACACTCAAAAGGAGTCACTCACAATGTTAGAGATTTGTGCTCATAAAAAGGGTTTGGGGCTTGGCATGGTGGCTCACACCTGTAATCCCAGCACTTTGGGAGGCCGAGGCGGGAGAATCATGAGGTCAGGAGTTCGAGACCAGCCTGATCAACCTGGTGAAACCGTCTCTACTAAAAGTACAAAAATTAGCCAGCTATGGTGACGTGTGCCTATAATCCCAGCTACTCAGGAGGGTGAGGCAGGAGAATCGCTTGAACCCAGGAGGCAGGGGTTGCAGTGAGCTGAGATCGCGCCACTGCACTCCAGCCTGGGTGACAGAGTGAGAAAAAAAAAAAAAAAAAAAAAAAAAAAAAAAAGGGTTTGGGTTATTGCTAGGGAAAGTTATTGTACTATATTTGCAACTTCCTGTAAGTCTTTTCTATTTCAGAATAACAACAACAACAAAAGACCTTAAAAATAGACAGGTATTTAGTTTGGAGGTTTCATAAATATGCAGAGAAAAACACAGAAGTAAAAATGTATCACTTGGCAACATGGGAAAACCCCATCTATACAAAAACATACAAAAAGTTAGCTAGGTGTGGTAGTACATGCCTGAAGTCCCAGTTACTTGGGGGTGCTGAGGCAGGAGGATCGCTTGAGCCCAGGAGGCTGAGGATGCAGTGAGCCCTGACTGTGCCACTGCACCCCAGCATGGGCCACAGGGCAAAACCCTGTCTCAAAACAAAAAAAACATCTTATCACCTGCACATTTCTATCATGTATTCTCCAAAGGTAATACATTAATATGTTCCCCAAAGCCAACATCATGTTTAGTAAACACTGAGAAATGTTCTTAAAAAGAAGTGGTACCAGTATTGTTTAACATTCTTCTGTAGCTAAAGATCAACTAATCAGAAATGAAATAAAAGGGGAGCTTGGTAGAATCAGGGGCTATGAAGATCCCTTCCTCAGCTTCATACAAACAGAATGTTTTCCCCACCCAAAATTACCATAATATACTTGAAGAGTCACATACAGCCTCCCTGAAGGGAAATCACTACAAGATAATAGAGCACTTGATACTTACCTCAAAATATTTTTTCTCAATTTCTGGATTTTTTCCCATTGTTCGTTGTTCATAACAACATATAATACAGGTCTCAAATCCACTGATATCTTTTAGAGTTTTCAGCAATGGCTCCAAAGACTATTTAAAAAAGAATATATTTTTTGTTTATGATTTTAAAATATTTCTACTTTAAAAGTGGGTTGAGGAGGTGGAGGTGTATTTATAGCTCCTCTACAATTTATCCATATTTGAATCAATCCAACAAAGCACATGTAATTAAAGCTCTAAGCTAGGTGCAGCGGCTCACACCTGTAATGGTAACACTTTGGAAGGCAGAGGTGGAAAGATCACTTGAAACCAGGAGTTCAAAACCAGCCAGGAGAATATAGCAAGAACCGCCTCCCCACCTTACAAAAAATTTAAAAATTAGCCAGCATGCTAGTACACACCTGTAGTCCTAGCTATTGAGGGGGCTGAATGGGAAGATCATTTGATTCTCAGGAGCTCGAGGTTACAGTGAGCTATGATCACTCCGCTGCACTACAGTATGTGTGACAGAACAAGACCTCTATCTTACAACAAAAACAAACAAAAAACCCTCTGTAACTAATGACTGGGTAAGCTCCTCTTAACTATTGTACTGATTTCAGTTTCCAGAAAAAGGATTCAAGTGACTGCATTTTGGAGTTCCCATGGGAAAACAAATGGCATCAACTTCAACTTTACTCTTAAAAGTTTAATTTTATTTCATCTAATTTGGGATTTAAATAATGAATAATTTACCCTACAAAAGTTAAATCTGATCCTAACTTGGTTCAATACTAATTATTTTTAAATAAGTGATGCCCACAACACTATACAAACTGATATATATATATATTTTGAGACAGTTTCGCTCTTGTTGCCCAGGCAGGAGTGCAATGGTGCCATCTCGGCTCACTGCAACCTCTACCTCCTGGGTTCAAGAGATTCACCTGCCTCAGCCTCCCGGATAAGACGAGATTACCGCATGCACCACCACGCCTGGCTAATTTTATATTTTTAGTAGAGACAAGGTTTCTCCACGTTGGTCAGGCTGGTCTCGAACGCCAGACCTCAGGTGATCCACACACCTTGGCCTCCCCAGTGCTGGGATTACAAGCGTGAGCCACCTCGCCTGGCCCAAACTGATATGTAAAGAACAATGAGTTCTTTACAACTTAGTTATCAATGTCATGATTAACATGTTCCGTGGGAGAGAAAAAAGAAAAAGATGATTTTGGCTTTTCATAACATCCAATTGGCAAAATCCTATAAAATTTTTACAGAAGCCACTAGTAAAAGGCATATAACACTTTTCTCAACATGCTTAACTAGGCCTATATGTTAATGATGATAGTATATACATATAGCCCCTGGTGACTTTTCTCTTTACTGCATCAACTATAAGGCAAATCCCGGATTCACAGATGTTAAAATGTGAAAAAATGTGTGCTTTAGAATCCAGGAAAATATGGCTCATCTTCTAAATGAAGACACTTCACTCACTGAATACTTACCTCTTCATAGTATATGCAGTCCGCCATCAGTATGTAGTCGGGTGGAGAAGGAAAGTCTTCTATTTCTTCCCCCCTTAAAAATGTCAAACAAATATTTCAACTGTTGTTTTAATAATTCAAAATACTCGTTTTTATAAAGAACAGGAGAGTCCCCTTCCATCCCTTTAGCAAACTACAAATCGGTATCTTAAAAGAAGCTGAAAGGCCATACAAACCATTTCAGTACCTTGGCTTGAACAGAACCAGTGACAAGATGCTTGTTCATATTAATATTCATCTTCAGCAAGTCTTGCAATTCCTCAAGATCGGTGACTACAACATCAGCCCTATAAAATAACGTCGACTGAGGTGTAGGCACAAGGTGGGAAACCTGTAATCCGGATTTTCCCAGCAAGAAGGCGCCCCCATACCCAGCCCGCCCGCCAGCTCTTACCCGAGGGTAGCGGCCATGAGCCCCACGGCCCCGGTGCCCGAACCCAGCTCCAGCACCGACCGCCGGCTCAGCGCGTGGGCCCCGTCGCCAGAAAACTCGGGAGTTTCCAGGTATTTAGAAAGGACAATGGCAGCGTCCCAAACAACGCAACCCACGCCGCCGGAGCCATACTGCTGTAGTCGTAGCACCGTACCATCCCGCTTCTCCAAAACTCGCACAAAGCTCCGCAGAGGGTCCTCCAGCGAGGACTCGGGAGTAGCCGCCATCGCTGCCCGGCAACGGGGGCGGTGCGCGCAGCAACGTCACATCAACGCGCACCGCCCCGCCACACGTCCCCGCCTTGTGAGGGGCCAGCCCCTCCCCGCGGCGGAGTCGGCGTCACTGCGCGCGCAAGTTAACAAAGCCCGGAAGGCAGCGTTACTTGGGCGGGGCCAAGCGTGGGGCTCCGGCTTCTCCCAAGCACTTGGCAGTCTCCCTCTACCCTAAATCACACGTTTAGCTTAACGAAGAGGCTGTTTACATCGATTTTCCACACAAAACTACTATTATAATCTGCTCTTTAAAAGACAAAGCCAACCTCAGAGTTTACCTAGTTCGAAACTTGATTCACACAGTAGTTACAGGGCCTAAATGCAAGTAGCTTCCAAGATCCTAACAAAGAGAGCTATAAGACTGTAATCTTACCATCTTCCAAGTTCCTAGCATACTCCTAGTTTTTTTAATGAATTCATAAAAGTGGTTGCTAGAAGCCTGCCGCTCACATTTAACAGTCAAGAAAAAAATTATCCCTCTAAAATTGTGTCTGTGTGTGTCTACAGTACTCAATAATCTCCCCCTTTGTTCTTTATAATGAAAACATATTTTAAAAGTCTTTTAAAAATTAAGACTAGGGTGATTTATTAATCTTGTTAAGAACTCTGATACAAAGCACAGTAAAAGGCCACAGACCAGTAAATAAACAACGTGGCTTTTGGCTACTTTACAACTGCTGCTACAGCACTATCAGCAAAACACTCTTTATCACTTTGAACAAAGGCATCCAAATGGCAAATAAAAGTTTTACTCACTTATCTGATTAAAACAATTAATAAAGCTTTAAGTATTTGCTGGTTTAAATATTACCAATCTAAAAAATATATTTAAAAAAATTTTCAGTTAACACAAGATTTATAGAGAAAGTTACTAGGTCTTGAAGGCAAGGCAACTGGTTCCTATGCCATATAATTTTTTTTGAATTTAAGAATTAGTAAAGTAGCAGATTGTATTATAGGCCTTAAGTCACTTAAATTTATATAGGTTATTAGCAGTATCTTTAAATATACAATATAAACAAAACTGTACATACATGGCATATTATAACTGTTTTCCATAACAATAGGCAATTCATTAGCTAAAGACACCATAGTCTGCAAAAACAAAAGGCACATCTGAATGAGATACATGCCCTTTTCTCCTCCATCACTGGGTTATGTAGTCTTTGTTTACATTTTAACAAAGTAATAAACACTTACAGTGCCATTCTATTATTTTCATCCTACTTTTCATTTTTGTCTTCAGCAGCAAATACCGGCATTTAAGACATGGCATTAAAGAGTTTAAGAACAGTTGGTGTTATTCACAATTCTCCTAGATGTAAAAACTAGAAGTAAAAACTAGAAGATGGTCAAAGAGGTTTAAAAATCAGTAACACCAAATACCCCTCCTATATTTGTGTTAATTCACTGCCTTAAAAAGGCATCTATTACTCAAATTTGAAAAATTTCACAAAAGCACTATCCCTTTTCAGTGCAATCACATCACTTTAAATCATATTTTTGCAGAGTTTACAGTGCAAATATAAATTCTTTATACTGGCCTTTTGGCAGCACTGAGGATCCAAGACAAGGCAATGCTACTGATCACCTGAGGATAATGGTGAAGGACTTTTGTATTTTTTTTCCAATTCTTAAAAGCTTATTTGATCAGTAGCATTTTTTAAGAGCATTATTTGTAAAAAGTACTAAAATACTATGTCTTTTTTTGAATAAATTAAAAAAAAACTTTACAAATACCATTCCAGTGTCAATGACTACATATGGCTAAGGTCATTGGGGAGTTTCTGCATTTTCTAGCAAAGGCAGTCCGTACAATGGAGGGTGCGAAAGCTCCCGTTTGTAAGTCTTTGGTGGCAGTTTTGGCAGATGAGGGCTTGAATTCTGCCTTGGTGGAACAGGGGGAGCTGGAGGATGAGCAAGATTATTTTGACTAGAACTGAGCACATAGCATCGACGTGGTACCCTTGGAGAGGGTGTGCTAGGAGGAGTGCTTGGTGAATTTGGACACATACTAATGTCTCTCAGCCAGTCTGAATCTCTGTGAAGATGCCCCAGTGGAGGTGGCTGAAGATTAACTGGACAGTTTATAAAGTGTTCTGGAGGCCGAACGGGAACCGGTGGGGGGGTATCAGGAAGAGGATCTCTTGGTGGTGGTGGAGGTGGACTATGTAGAGGCCCATCAAATGCACCAGTAGGAACAGGAACTCTGGGTTTTACCTTTGGAGGAGGAGGCTGTCTTGGTGGAATAGCAGGAGGATCATCATCAGATTTCATATTTCCCTTAAAAAAAAGTAATTAAATTATACCTCTATTCTGCTGGAAAACTTTTTAAAAAAGTTTTTAAGTCTGAAAATTTCTTACATGTGAAGTTAAATTCAGAGACTCAAACTAATCTGGGTTAAATATCAGATTGTGAGTACTCCTAGTTTAATTCAGGGCTGGGTTTAGTATTTTTATATATGAGATGTTTTAATTAAAGTCTTAAAAATATAACTCTTTGAGTTATCTTGCTTTGTGTATACATTTAGGAAATTTATATATTTTAATTATAATAGGTAAGTGACAATAATTTATTGCTTTATAGACATGAAAGGACATGATATCAAGAGGACTTTGATGTCTAGCTTCTGCTTACTGGACATCTACCTCTACTTTCTACAATGAGGCTTAGAGCAGTAGATCTCAAAGTGTGATCCAGGGACCACTGGTATCAGCATCAGTAGGGAACTTGTTAGGAAAGCAAAGTCTTGGACCAGGCATGGTGGCTCATGCCCGTAATCCCAGCACTTCAGGAGGCCAAGATGGGCAGATCACAAGGTCAAGAGATCGAGACCATCTGGCCAACATGGTGAAACCCTGTCTCTACTAAAAATACAAAAATTAGCTGGACATGGTGGCACATGCCTGTGGTCTAAGCTGCTCAGGAGGCTGAGACAGGAGACTCGCTTGAACCCAGGAGGTGGAGGTTATAGTGAGCCGAGATCACGCCACTGCATTCCAGCCTAGCGACAGAGCGAGACTCCATCTCAACAACAACAATAACAAAGAAAAGCAATTTATTGGGCCCTATCCTAGACCTACTGAATCAGAAACTCTGGATGTGGGGCTCTACAATTTGATTTAAACAAGCCTTTCAGGTAATTCTGATGTACCCTTAAAATTTTGAGAAGCATTGGTTGAAAGTTTGACGAATACCTGGAATACTACCAAAGTTTTTTTCACCTATACCAGAAAGAATATGTACTTCTGAGTATCTCTGAATCTGCCCAGCCTCTTTTTTATTTTTTTTATTTTTATTTTTCGTTTCTGAGACAGAGTCTTCCTGTTGCCCAGGCTGGAGTACAATGGTGTCATCTTGGCTCACTGCAACCTACCTCTGCCTCCTGGGTTCAAGTGATTCTCCTGCCTCAGCCTCCTGAGTAGCTGGGATTACAAGTGCCTGCCACCACACCTGGCTAATTTTTGTGTTTTTAGTAGAGACAGAGTTTCACTATGTTGGCCAGGCTGGTCTGGAACTCCTGACCTCAGGTGATCCATCTGCCTCAGCCTCCCAACCAGCCTTTCCCCCCCACCCCAAGACAGAGTTTCACTCTTGTTGCCCAGGATGGAGTGCAGTGGTGTGATCTTGGTTCACTGCAACGTCCATCTCCCAAGTTCAAGCAATTTTCCTGCCTCAGCCTCCCGAGTAGCTGGGATTACAGGTGACCACCACCACACCTGGCTAATTTTTGTAGTTTTAGTAGAGATAGAGTTTCACCATGTTGGCCAAGCTGGATTTGAACTCCTGATCTCAGGTGATCTACCCACCTCGTTCTTTCAAAGCACTGGGATTACAGGCGTGAGCCACTGCACTCAGCGCAGCCTCTTTTTTAGAAAAGGTTTTTATAAGTATTAGACAACTAAAAGTATTTTTCAAATACAACCCAAATGTTGAAAAACCATAAATGGTAGCCAAAGTATAACTGACAGACTCTTTACAACAATGGGCATTATTTTGAAGATGCACATCTTAGAATAAGTTGAAGTCAAGTCCTGTTGATTACCTTGGAATTTGAAGCATCATGATCAAACTTTTTTCGAGGAGGAAGTGGAGGAGGAATCAATGGCTCTTCACTTAGTTTATGTAAACTACCACATGAACTAAAGAAAGACTCTGTGGGAGAAAAAGACTAGTTTAACCACAATTCACAGTATAATTGTAAGATAAACCTTTATCACAGCTTGTGCTTGATACTTCTATTATGGCATTTGTCAGACTGTATCGACTATTGGTTTATCTGTCTTCCCCAATAAATTGTAAGCTTTCTGAGGGCAGTGTGTATTCATTTCTATATCTCTATCACCTACCACAGTGCCTGGGGCATGATGGTACTTAAGCTAAATGAAGGTATACTATTTAAGATTAAAGAGATTCTGCTCCCTGAAAAGCCTTTTACAAATTGAAACAAAACATGTCTGAATATACTGTAGTAACTTCCAAAGAAAGACCATCCTAATCAGAGACCATATATTTCTGAAGCAGCTACATTTCAGCACATCACCACACAGGTAATAAAACCGTGCATATAGGAGCCCATATCACATAACTCTTTCTCTTTGCAAGTCTCTCATTGAAAATGTACACATTATATAACCACATTAAAGGAATTTACAAAATGATAAATGACAGGACAAACCCCTAAACAGATCAACCAGACATATAATTATTATTTTCATTCTGATTTTTTCTACAGTTCAACTTCCCATTTGATCTCTCTATATTCACACAGTTGTTACAAAGGCAGTAACCGTGTCTTATTTGTCATTATACTGCATTTGGGAACACAGGAGGTAACTGGGGAAGAAGCTGATGAGTTTAACTTTAAACACTCTAACTGAACTGCTTAAGAGACATCCAAGTAGATATGTCAAACTATTCTATGTCAAAAATTGCTATCCTGATCATGTGGCTCTGCAGTTATCTCTGGGGGGTCCTGTTGGCTCAGGGAGAAATAGCTGATACAAAAGGTATGCCTATGAGGTTGGTAGGTGGTGTGAGGAGGTTAGGCAAAGGATCATACCTGCCAGCATTGTTTGTCTCGTCTTTGGGAGAACTCTCCTCAGTGGTGGTAAATCTGTCCCATTTGGTTTAGTTAGCCAATCCCACCCAGGGCACCCCAATTCAAGCCAAGGAGTAGGC